CCCCCCCCCCCCCCCCCCCAAAAAAAAACCCCTCACATATCTGCTTTTCTTACCCGATCGGTGCCCCTGTGCTGCCAAACGTGGAGTCACGGCCGGCGTTGGAGCTGGGCTCGGAGTCGGGCACTCTGGGCAAATGGAGCTGGGCATGCAAAGCGGCGGCCACAGAGGCTGCGCCCCTGCTTACAGGGGGCTCGAGCCGCTGCCGGGACTGCAAAGTGCCCGGGACTGCAGGGCACGGGCCAGGCCCTGACTTACAGGGCAGCCCCGGTCCCAAAGGCCCACGAGGCCCCTCCTCTCCGATACAGGGACACCCTGACCCACACCCCACTAACAGGGCAGCCACCCCACGCAAGACGCCAGCCAAGCGCTATCGAGGGTGCTGGGCGCTGTCTGCCCTGAAGGCAGGTGAATCGGCAGCAGTGGCCTTTTCCCAAGAGGTTCCTGAGGCTGGGGCAGAAGAAGTTCCCGAGGGGGGTTTCTCATCGCTTGGGAGAAGCTGCCGCGTCACTGCGGAGCAGCTGGTTGCAAGGGGCTGGCGGCTGGGGCCCACCAGTGCTGCCTGTCACCCTAAATCTCCCCCTGCCCTGCCGTACCCCGGTCCCCTCTCCCTCTGCGCTTTAAGCCTCCAGGCCGCCAGGCAACAACAGGTGAGAAAATGGGGTCTGAGGCGGCTGGGGCCCGGGGCAGGGGGGAGGAGGGAGGAAGGAGGGCCGGGGGCCAGAGCGCACTGAGGGAAGGTCCCTCAGGGGGTCGGTTTCCCCGTCGTCCAGGCAGAGGAGCTGGCGCCCGACCGCATCTTCCTTCCAGGCACCAACTCCCGGAGAAGAAAGAAGGAAGAGGCATCCGTGGTCTGCAGAAGAAACTACGAGGCGAGGGCAAGCGAGAGGAGGATCGGCACGCTGAAACAGGGGAAAGAGAAAGGTGCTGTGGGCAAAGGGCCCTCCCTGTCACCAAGGCTGCTGTGGGACGAGAGCATCCTGGGCAATTTTGAGAGGGTCTCGAGGACTCTGGGGCAGGTACTTGGCTCAGGGCCGTTCCCTACGTTTCTAGAGGCTACTGCGGTTCTCGGTGAAGGGGACACAACTGCCAAGCATTTGCCCTCGAAGGCTGGGGGCCGCAGACGCCCGCTCGCTACCCACTCCTCCTGCCGAGGGCGGGGGACGGGCACAACCTTGCTTACAGGACTGTCGGACTGCTCATGGGGTCAGAGGGCTCCACGGCTCGTGGCACTCACCCCGAGTACGGGGCCGGCACGCTGGCACATCGCCAGCAGGACAGGCAGCCACCCAGGCAGTGACCCAGGCCCAGACTGCGGGCGGGTCACGCGTCGGCCATGCTACGACCACGCGGCTTGGCTCTGTCCTTGGAAAGGAGGGGCAAGCCGGGACTCGCCCTCCGCTCGCGGGCTCAGCGGGGACCGAACCCCTGTTGCTGCACAGAGCCCCTCTTTCCCTCCCGGGAAGTTTAAGCTAAGTACGCTGCAGCGATTTCAACAGGGGCCTAAACAAGAAGCTCCTTCTCTCGCACACTCGCACCGACGCGGACACAGGCAGGCACACGGACACGGACAGGGGGAAAGAAAACTTCCCAGAAGAGAGAGCGAGCTCTGTGCAGCCAATGTCTGGGGAGCCGTCCCCTCCCGCGAGCAGGAGAGCAGAGCCTGGGACCTGCCCCCCCGGACGCACGGAGCCCAGAGGGACTCAACGTGCCACGGGGCTCCGCGGGGACCGAGGGACAAGTGCCGTGACGCGCCCCGACTCCAGGGGGTCACGCTGGCCAGGCCGCCAACAGGCGGAAAGCCGCCGGGGCCGGGGAAACAGCCCTCTCCTGCCTACAGGGCGGGCGTGGGGGCCAGAGAGCCCCATTTCCCCCTCAGCGCGGGGACGGTGCCGCTCACTCTCCTTACAGGGTTGCCTCGGGTAGCCAAATAGTCGGGGCAAGGGTGCAAAAGGCCAGAGAAACCGAGCCCTGCTTACAGGAGGTCACCCGGCGCAGCGCCGGCCAGGACACCAAAGGTGCCGGCAACGGTGCCGTTGGGAGGCCCCTTTGCCCTGAGGTCCCTCCTCTCCCCCCAGCCCTCTCTTCAGCCCGCCGCTCCTCCTCTCCCTCGCTCTGGCCTCGCAGCTCCTTCACGATGCCTTGTCTTGCTTCTCCAGGGGCTGCTGCTCAGAAGGAAGGCGAAGCCAGGCGCCAGCTCTACCACCCGGAGGACAGAGCAGAGGTCCCGGCCCCGCTGCCAGGCTCCCCCCTGCGCCCGAGTTACTGGCCAGCCGTCCTGGCTGTGGCTCACCACCACGGTGCGCTTTAGGAGCTCCGCTTCCCGCCCCGGCCGCAGAGACGATGCTGCTCAACCCCCTTGGAGGGTTGTCACCTGCCCGGCAGCCTGACCATGGGGTGACATGTCAAAAGGCCGGCAAACACCCAAAGACCCGAGCCCTGCTTACAGGGGGGTCACCCGGCACAAAGCCGGCCAGGGCACCAAAGGTCCTGGTGACACGCTGGTGCAACCACAGCCCCGGTGACAGGGAGGTCCCTTTGCCCAGAGCGCCCTTCTCTTTCCTCCTCTTGCTGCCCAGACTTCCTCCGC